AGGGTGCTCTGTGCTGATCTTTTCTCCTCCCAGGCTTCATGCAGGGTGAGCAGGAACACCGTCAGTGGCTATTTCCTTGCTGGCAGAGACATGGCGTGGTGGCCAGTAAGTAGAGACCTCTGTCCCTCTTGTGACACCTGGGCAACGGGGATGTCCTGCACCACTCTTCTTCGTACCCAATTCCCGCTTCTGCGCCCCTGCCTCCTCGACCACCTGCCCGTGCTTTCCTCCACCCTGTACTCCTGCTCCTGCCAGGATTTGTGTCCTTGGAGCTGCGTTTCCCTTCTCATGGCATGAAGGATTCCAGAGCTTGTTGGGCCTCCTCTTAGGCTGCTCTGAACTTGAAGACATGTTTTTGGAGTCATGCATCCGTCTCCAGTGGCCCAGTGTGCTCGTGGTGGCCTCAACAGGTCATGGGTGTCCCAAGTGCCTTTTTTTTTATCCCTCCTCTAATTTCAGTTTGATCTTGACAAACTGGTTGTAGGTCCTTCGCGTGTCTGGCCCTGGCTGCTTGCGCAGGGCCACCTCCGGGCAGGGTGTGTGGCCACCGTGGCGAATGCAGCAATGTGTGGCTGCTCCTAACCCTCCTCAAGACAAGAAAGTCCACCCAGACCCCCCTGGGGACGCCCAGATGAGCGGAACGCGGGAGAGCGCTGGTTGCTGGAGCTCATGCCTACTTGGGTTTGAGGCTGTGAAGGGGTTTTCTTGCGAAATATGCTCACGTCCTTCATCACGCTTGGCTTCAGAAGTGGTGGAGAGCTCTGTGCTCTGCTGCTCCCATTCAGACATTATTTTTGCCACCTCCGCTTACTGAGCTATCCCCTTGGGGCTGCGCACCCCACCTGAGAGCACCCTCAGCATCTCCTCTGTTCCTTCACAGATCGGCGCCTCCCTCTTTGCCAGCAGCGAAGGCTCGGGGCTCTTCATCGGGCTGGCTGGGACCGGTGCTGCCGGGGGAATCGCTGTCACCGGCTTCGAGTGGAACGTAAGAAACGTGTGGCGTTATTAAGGAAATGAGGTTTCTGGAGCCATGGAGCAGCAGGTGGCCTGTTTCACAGCAGCCTCGTGCAACGTCTGGAAAGGCTCGGGAGGAGTCGTGCAGGGGGTAATTAGCACAGCCCTGCTTCTCCAGCTCACGTGTAGTGCACGTACAGTGAGTCTGGAGTCAGCTCAAGCCCATGCGCTTGGGGAAAAGGACAGCAGTGTAGAGCTTCCCAGTCCAGCTGAATAGGTCACCCGTTCCCTGCCACACGCTGCTTCCAAAGTCCTTGGGTTCTGCAGCAAAAATAACGGCGTTTGGCTTGCCTGATGCTCAAGGGGCTTGAATGAACTGCTGTTCAGGGCTAAAGGGTTGTGGGGAGTGGGCTCCTGCTGGCAAGGGTGCTGGGGGGGTCTGCACGGTGGCCTCATGCCCGCCTTCCTGCTGTCTGAAGCCATTTGGGGATGTAAATATGCCTTTGAGGCTGAGCCAGGGCTGGGTCAGGAGTGGTGGGGACATTCCAGCATTGCAGTCCATGTGGAGCTGTAGCAGGATCAGTGTTTGTTCAGTCAGTGTCATGTTCCTCCTTCCCAACAGGCGACCTACGCTCTCCTGGCTCTGGCCTGGGTGTTCGTGCCCGTCTACATCTCATCTGGGGTACGTAGAGCTGCCCTGAGCCTGCTGCGGGTAGAGTTGCCCCAGCCAGGTCCCCTGCTCCCAGGAAGGCTGTCACTGCTGTCCTTTGAGACCCCTCAGCCCTGCTCTGGGAATACAGCTATTCCCTTGCCTTCCCTGGGGCCATCCTTGGAGACAGGGGCCTGGACAGGGCAGCGATCGCTCTCTTTCGCTCT